GCGAGCGCCCTGTACCTTCTTGGACGCTGTTAGAGAAGGGAAACAGCTCCCATATTGGAGAGAATGAAGGTATGCTAACAAACTTTAAAAAAAATTCTTTATTATTTAAAGTATTACGTATGTCTCCTTTCCCCCCATTGACCTCTGCCTGGCCACTCCAAATCTGTTTTAAGAGGGGAGGATTTTTAGAAGGGGGCGGGGTCTCCTCCCAGGCTTTCCCTCTGCCACCCTTGGTGGGCACTGTTCCCCACTTCTGCTGAGTCACTGAATGTGGGGAAAGAGGTGTTTCTGGAAAATGCCTTTTGTCCCTTCCTTTCCCTTCCCACTGTTTACTTGGTTGGGCTTGGCCATCCTAGGCTGATGCTCAGTACAGGATTAGATATAAAAACAAATCAAACCTGCTTGCCCTTAAACAATACTATTTCAAGGGAAAGTCCCCAACCCTGAAATAAGCCAGGTTTCAAGTAAGAATCTGAACTCTGACAATATAATCCATATTACATATAAATCTGATTTGCCTTTGGGCTATGGGGTTTTCCTATCAACTCCTCTAAGGATAGAGAAAATGAAGAGAAGGGATCTTTATTTCCGGGCCTAGGAATGCTTTTTATTATTACTCTCGAAGCTTTTTTGAAGTGAATAGAACATGAAAATGAGATCTCAACTCTTTGTTTTCCCCTCTATCCTGTCCTTCCTTTCTTACTCCCTTACTCTCCACCTTCTTCCGTATTTTCAGAGGATCTATGATGTATCAGGACAGTTTCCCAGCTTTGGTTCCTGTGAACACCATTTCTATTTAATCCACAATCTGTCTCTACTGGAAATTACTTTTTTTAAAAATGTAATTCCCATTGTTTTGCTTATAAAAATGTGGACCCATTCCTAAAACAATAAAATCAATTAAATCAAGGGTTTGACTATCTGGTTGTATACTTCCCCCAATGCACAATAAATCAGTCAATGTTGCATTATGGGGCACCTCCTAAAGCTATCCCATTGATCACGTGTGTGATGGAAAGCTTCAGGGCTTGGGGCAGAGCAGGCCTTCCATAGGTGCTTTCTGGTTAACCCACAGTCTTCCGCCCAGTGTTGCTCAAGCTCTAGCTCCTGGAGAGCTTAAGATTCCTAGAGAGCTAAGATTTCCAGAGCTTCTGATTCAGCAGGGCTGGGGGAGTAGGGTGGCTGGGAGTCTGCATTTCTTTCTTTCTTTTTTTTAAGATTCTAGTATACATTTATTTTTCATAATAAACAAACTGGGGTCAGAAAATTTGAGTAACTTGAGAAGACAAAGAGTTATTGAGAAGTGACCACAGGAAATTGAATCCAGACCCTTATAAATTTGAAATCCAATGTTAACCTCTTAAAAATATCTAGTTATATTATTCATCACAGCAAAGTACCACTTCTATGGGAATTTGATCTTGGGAATCTGCATCTCTAACATGCTGTCCAGGTGATGTCCATAGTGCTGGTCTGAGTACAACTGAAGTAGGTCTCAGGCCGCTGGGCATCAACCCACCAGATTCTGATTGTTCAGGTCTGGGTGAGTCCTTGGAATCTGCCTTATTAACCAGCGTTCCAAGGAACCTCTGGAGACCACCTTTGAGAAACACTGTTGGGACCACCAATAGCACCTGGAATTCAGAGGTTAGGTATAGAGGTGAGTGACCTGCCTCAAGGTCACTCTGCAAGTCAGGGACAACTCCTCTCTGTTGCTTTGGTCTTAAGCCTCAGCACATCCTGGACTTCCCTTTCCCTCCTACCCCACATTCAGTGTGTCAGGGAACTCCGCTGGCTCTTCCTTCTCTAAAATTTGGACTTGGGGCTGAGACTGTAAATGAAACAAGACTGTAAAATGTTTAGAATTGTTGAAAATGGGAGTTCATTTTATAACTTATGATTTATATGTGATTTTTTCCATAATGAAAGTTTTTATATTTAAACCTATGAGCTAACAAAACCA